ACATTCCTGCAAGACGTCACAGGTATCTCGAATGTTGACAACACGTTGTCAACGCTCCTAACATAAGCCAATCATATTTTTGCGTTGTGAGAGCAACGCGTAATTCAAACTCGTGGGCTTAGGCGGTAGTCCCTCCTTTCGCGTGCTCCTCGCCTCCAGGATTTCGCGCGGCCATTTATTTTCTCGCGGTTTTCTTTCGCGTCACGCACGACGGACTAAGCGAAAGAGGGACTACTCGTAGTCTAGACTTTCACTTTCTCCACACGAGTCTTCGCGGCCGTGTTTTCACGACAACCGTTGTCGCGGCTTCCTCGACAACAGATGTGATTTACATACGTTTTGTTGTGGTAAAACTCAATCACTTAATATTGTTGACAGCTGTCACTTTATTTGCTCCCTCCAGTTGGTCGTGTCACGCTATGACGTCATGGGTGGTGGGTGTGATATATTTGTTTTACAGAAAAGGTTCGCGTCTCTTGCTAAGTGCAAAGCAGCCTCGAAGTTACTTCTTGCACAGTTGGTACTTCTGATAAAAATTACGGACAGTGTCCTTTAAATTGAAGAGATCCAAAATGGCAAGCGTTAATATGAACCCAGAGAAAATCTTTCCCCTAATCGAGTGCATCAACACATTTCTTTGCGGCCTGATGACAGGGATAGCAGTGTATGTTGTTGCCGTGGAGCAGCCGTCACGAATGAGCATGAAGGACCCTGTTGCCATCCACCGGCAGTGGCTGACAAGTTTCCACCGATGTGCGCGCCTGATGATGGGTCTATCCGTGTTCCCCCAGGTCTCAGGCGTTGTGGCTTATTATATGGACCGTACCCGAGGCCTTCCGTGGCTTATTGTTGCTGGCTTGCTTCTGTTTAACATGCCGTACACCTTGCTGGTTCTGAAGCCATACTTCATTGATCCCATACTAGATGAGAACACATGTTCCAAGAAGGATCACGAGTACGTAGTGGATAAGGTGGTGAAGTGGAGCAGAGCTCACTTAGTTCGCGTTTTGATCAACGTTATCGCCTTCGATGTGTGCATTTATACTATTGTTTACTAACTTCACGCGATCGACTTTTGATCTCACGGCAGACGGTCATCTCTCATATAGCAAGTTTCACGCTTTCTGGCAGCATCGCATTTTCGGTCGGTATTTCGGTTAATTCAGCTCTCAACAGGCGCGCATGTATACAACACTGTACAATGCTCGCAAGCTAAGCGTAGCGAAATAATTTGGACTCAGTTAAAGTCAAGTGTCATAGAACTTGAAGTGTTTATTGTCCATTTGGACAGACATCATGTATTTGTGTACTGAAGCAAGTAGAAGCAGCGAAATGAAGTGAAGTGCCTGTTTTGTTACTACGCAGGTGCATGTATTAGTTTATTGTGATTATGTAACATTTAAGAAATAAAACGGTTATTTTATGTTCAGTTATGCCTGGTTGTTTAGTTTCAGTTTCTGTTTTTTATTATGTTGCCGCATATGGTCAACATTCTCTGCGCTACCTTGGACCAAAATTATGGACAAAACTGCCTAAAAATATTAGATCTGCAAAAATCTGAACAACTTTAAAAGCACTATTAGAAAATTTGACGTTAGCTCTCTGCTGGACGATGGATGTATACGTTGTTCTTGCTGTTCATCTATGTAGTTAGTTGTTAAATAACTATTAGGTGATAATATTATGATAGTATTTATCAACAAATTAGTGTTTTTTTATTCAATTTTAATAGTTTAATATTCTCTTAATTTTACTAAATCTTGGGTGAATACATTTTACTTTATATTTTAGTCTCCCCAATTAGTAGAGCACTTGTGCTCAGCTATTAAGACTGAGACTTAAATAAAGTTGTCATTCATTCATTCATTCATTCATTCATTCATTCATTCATTCATTCATTCATTCACAATAAATTAAAATAAATTTACAAACATCAAATCTATATGAGGCATAAAAGACCAGGGAAGCCAAAAACGCTTATCAGTTATGTAGGGGACTTTAGAACACGATCTAAGACTAAAGATATCAAATTAAATAAAGTCATTAGCAGGACAATTTATTTAAATATAAAAGATACATTTGGTTTTTTAACACACAAAAGTGATCATTATTTAGAATAAAAATGCACATGTGAAGCTAAACGTCCAAATGCACAGAAGCGAAGGGAAAAATAACAAAAAAAAAACAAAGCGGAAGAAAAAACAAAAACAAACAAAAAACAAACAAACAACAACAAAAAAGCAAAACAAAACAACAACAACAACAAAAAAAACAAAGCAAAACAAGAGAAAACAAATAAAGAGCGAAAATAGCCCACACAAGCACATTTATAGGGAATAAATGGTGGACACAACAATACCGGAAGCATTTTGAATTTCAGGACTGAGGGAATTAAGGCTGGAGTCTACCCGAATTTAAGTGAAGATTTAGGAAGTTTAAGGAGGGATTAAAAGGAAACAAAATAGTTTTGGAACACCACCAGACAGTTGAACGCCCCCCGAAAGGGCAACCCAGGTTGGACAACTGCCCGTCTACCAATTTTTAACTTCAATTTTAATTTTAAAACAATATCAAATCTTCAAAATTTCATATTTCCATAAATTTTACTAATCCTTTGAGAAAAGCTATTTATCCTCAAACATACCCAAATATCACCAAAAAATTTACAAAACAGCCCAAAACGTAGATACGTGGGATGAGCAGAGAGATTTTTGACTGCTTGAAACGTGAACGAGATATTTGCGTTAAAACCATAATACCCAGCCAAAATACGGCCTTCATGTTAAGGTGGTATGGTACCCTAAAATATGGCGATGTTCATGAAAAATTCAATTTCTTGAAAATACAAGACTTAAGACCCTTGAGAACTTGTCAAAAA